GTTGGACACGGACGGCGTCGACCTGCTGGTGTCGTTCCTCAAAGTGAGTCTGGCCGCAATCTGGCAGGAGCCCGAGCCGCCCTTGACCTCCTTTCTCTGCTCCTTTTTTTTGTTTTGTTTTTTTTTTCTTTCCTTGGCACGTCGCAGTACGAGTCGAAAAGGAGGATCTCCGCCGACGAAGCCGCGAGGCGGCCGTTCTTCGGGAGCCTGGGGGCTCGCGCGCGCACGCTGCCAGAAAGTGAGTAAGAAAACGGCAGCCGAGCGCGGGAATGACGTGCGCGCCGCGGCTCTGACCCCCCCCACTGCCTCTCTGGCAGACGTCTCCATCTTCGCGTTAAAGGAGGTCCGCTTGCAGAGAGAGCCCGGCTGCCGGAACTCCTCGTACCCCGAGTCAGGTGAGGCTGGAGTCGCTACCCCCGCACGGGCACTTAGGGAGCGCCGACAATCGCAAACGTCTTTGAAAGCCGCCCGGGAGGGGGCGGACAAACGTCGCAGATTTGCGGGACTTGTCGTGGAAACGGCACGCTTGCCAGAAACCCCCCCGGGCGTCCGGCGGCCGGAGCGGAGGCGCATTTGCCGGGAGTGACGTCACAGTCGTTCACCGTGTTCGGAACTGCCACTACGACAGAATGCGCCCGCAAAATCACTTCTTCCTCTCCAGTGGATTTTTCATGACTTTTTATTTTCATTTTGTTTCTTGCATCCTGTGAGTTTTAGTTGCGCTCTTCGAGCCGCTTTGCTCGTTTTTATTGTTATTCTTGGTTTTAATGCCATTTTAGTTTGGGAGGGGGGGAGTTTAGTTTTTATTACCGGTAGTTTTAAGATTAGCTTTGGGGAATTCTTACTTTTTAATTAGTTGACTAGTTTTAGTGTTAGCTTTAGTTTTTTTTCCATGTAATTAGTTGTCGTCGTAGTGCAAAATGAAAACATTTCAAATCAAACCCAAAAGCTTGTTCCGCGTGAAATAAAATAGTCAAGAAGAAAACCAAGGACTTTATTTTTCCTATGATTTGTAATCATAGATTGTTGGTTTCAGTTGTCGGTTTTTTCCCCCCCTAATATTGTGTCCGCTAACAAGAGTATTTTTTTCGATCGTCGTTTTCATTATTTTTCTTGTTTCTAGTAAGCTTGCCAACCACTGAAAAGCTCCGACGTGATTTGGATGCGGCTTGTCGTCGTGGAGCTTTGTCATCCGAGACAATGGAGAACCTTTCATTTCATCACCTACGATTGGGTTCAGATCTTGTTGCTGCTGTGCTGACGGTGTCCGAGAGGAAACTGGGGTGGGGGGGGGGGGGAATTTCCCCCTAACCGTTGCCTTTGTTGTTTGCAGGTAACGGCAAGAGCAGAAGACAAAGCATGCTCTTTTAGATTCTTGGGACTCTCGTCTGGAGTTTTTCTCCAAGATGATTTGGAAAGAATCTCTTGAGTTTCTTTCTGGATATGGTGGTGGAGCATCATCAACCTCAGCCTCACCCCCCCCCCCCCCCCCCCCACCCCCCTGCCCCCGCCCTGACCTGGAGATTCGAGATATTTATAAAGAAGAGAGAAAGTGCTGCTAAAATCCCAACGTCACTTTAAGGACATGCACCGTGGAGAGATTTGCAAGCTTTTTGACGTGGCCAACTGTGTTGTTGTGATCTTCCTCGTTTTTCATACGTACAACTCTACGGGGGGGGTTCATTGCCTCTTCAAATGTTTTGGACTCCCTTGCCCTTCATCCTTGACTCAATGTTTGGCCATGTATTTTGCAGGACGTTGTTTGTGTATAATTGTTTCTGCCGCTATGTGGAATTTTATTGCCGATGCCCTCTCCTGAGTAGAGGGCAAGGAAAATGAAATTGAAAGTTTCAACAGAACATGATTTATGATTTTTACTCTTCATGGTTAAAAAAAAAAAAAAAGTCACAGCATTCAAGCATTTAATGCTCAGTTTATTGAAAATGGACGACATTCTTAATCTTCACAATACAAAATTAAACCGAATACATACTGTATACCACGTCCAGTATAAAAAAAGAGGAAGAACTAAAAATAAAAAAAAATAAAACCCAAAACAGGCTTTTCATTCATTTGAAAGGGAAAGGAAGGCAGGACACAAAAATGAAGGCACAGCCGGTACTATCTGAGAAGCATAGTGCATATTTTACACCCCCCAAAAAGAAAAAAAAGGAGGAGGAGGAGAGGTTATGAATGAGCTCCGAGCGAGAGTTTAGCAGCTTGCGATATGGCTTTTCTTTTTCTTTCCCGAGTGCTTTCACCACTGCAAACTCAAGCGACCCAAGTGCAAAAAAATAAAAAATAAACTCCAAGATGAAACACAAATGAGGTCACAAAACTGTCCCAAGAGCAAGTTGACCAGAATGAAGACAAGGTGACATGGGGGGGGCGGGGGAATCAGCATTTGTGGGCACTCGGGGACGTGGAAGAGGAAGAGGAGGGCGTTCCTTCCAGGCTTGGCAGAGGGAGAGGCATGTGTCCGTTGATGAGGCTGGGGAACTGTGGAGGAAGAGAAAGGTGGGCCCACGGTTAGGAGAGAAGGGGGTCGGCGGAAGCGGTGTGAAAGGCTCGCTTTCCGGTGAGGAACCGCCACATTGTCACAGCTCGCGCTTCCTGTTATTTGTTCATTGTGCCGCTTCCTGTTCGTCTCTGTCCCCCCCCTCCCCGAGCAACGCACGAGTCCAAATTATCTTGTGAAAGGCCACCCGATGACTTTTACAAGCCCACCTCCATGAAATTGGATTTGGTGGGGAGCGTTCGGCCACTAGGATGGAGGACGTTCATTTTGTTTGGAGTCCGATCAGATTTCTTCAAAGTGTTGCCACATCGGTCGAAAGTGCCCGCCCGGGACCTTCGCAAACACTCGTGCCAGCCCACGCAACTCGGACGGCGGTAGCGGATCGCTGCCGTGTAATTGTTGAAGTCAATCGAGGAGCTTCCTTGACTCAAAGGTCGTCCTTTGCAACCATCCATCTTGTGGAATCTCTCGCCAATTCGAGTCGGGTACAAATCGAAGTGGGGAGCGGGCGGGCGCTCGCTTCGGTTGGCGGCGTTTCTTTGACGGTTCTTCCCGCGTACCGAATTTTGGCCCCCTCGAGGCTCTGACACGAGTTGGCTTTGCTGTAATTGCGGCAGAACGCCACTACGATGTGGCGGCGCTGTTTTACCCAAACAACGTTTGAAGAAAAACACACTTCCAACTCCGGTGATTATCGTCGGCAAAAACGAACAAAATCGAGAGAAAAGGCAACTAACTGCAACTGCGCCTTATGTTTCTCAAACTAATATGAGCCAAAATGTCCTTTGAGCTTTTGAGGCTCATTGGGGATGGATTTATTGTGGTATTGCTGTACAGCCGTACACAAGAAGGAAGGTCCCTAAAATGCAGCACGTTTCTTTAGGATACAAGACACTTTTTTTTTTAAATCTTGCACCTGCCAAAAAAAAAAAAACAAAAAAACAACAACAACACATGGACAGTTGTCTGCCCTCTGATTGGTCGGTTGCAGCCCGACGCATTGCGGTCAGTTTTGGCGAGCAATACGCACAACTATTTCTTGTCATGGTATTCATTCACGTTGATTGTGAATCGGGATGCTGCCTGCTCTTAGATTGCTGCCCCCCCCCCCCCACTCCGGCCCCCCGGTTCAGTGTTGCAAGCTGATCTAACCAAAGTGTTCTTAAGAGGTGGCTTGAGTGGCTCATCTAAGTCTAAATGCAGGTCGCGAAGGCGCGGCCCACCAAAGGAGCATCCGCGGCGGGCTCATACGAGCGCGCTTGCGTGTGACGAGAGAGGACCGGATCTCGCCGAAAACCGGTCGCCCCTGTTGGGGCCTGGTCGGCTCCCCTGGGCTCAGACAGGAAGTCTTGGCAGGATTTCCTCTCCCGAGCCGCAGCGCAGAAACCGGACACCCCCCGCCGCTACGTCCGATTAGTCGCACAACTGCGCTCGTCCGTTGCGGCGACGGAAAAAAAAAAGAAGAAAAACATCTTGAAAAGTCTTTGCCGCCGTTTGCCACCCTCATACTTGATGCGGCTTCAATATCTGCATCGGCAAAGACAGACTGCGCATCGACTTCTACCGACGACGACTGGAAGCAGCGCAGCCAAGAGGCAAACGCAGGCGGCGGACGGGCCGTTGGCAAGAAATGAAGACAATTTCCTGGAGCGGATCTGAAGTCGTCGTACGCGTCGGTCGCTGTTTGGGGCCAACTTGCAATTTTCCACAGCTTCTCAATGAGGTTTTTGCTCTTGAAACGACAGACTGTCCGCCCGCTTTGGCGGATTTTGGCCTGACACCCGCCGCTTCATGCGACCCGGACGCTGCGCGAAAACAAATGCCTTCTCAGCCAATTGCGTTCCGCTCCGCATCGGCATCGACTCGAACAATCAAGTCTTCTTGACTTACTGAGGGCAGATTCTTTTCAAATTGTGGTCGCCGGCGACTACTTTTGCAAACGGGTTGTGTTAGTTTGCTTTGTTGTTGTTGTTGTTTCTCCCCCCCCCCCCACCGCCCTTTCTCGCTCACCTGAAACAAGGAGCCGTGGCCCTGCAGACGGGCGGGGCTGAGCGGGGCCACGGGGCTGAGGCTGCTCCAGAAGTGGATGCCGGACAAGAGCGGACTGTGAGTCAGCAGCAGACCGGAGGGAGTCTGGAAAAAAAAAAGAGCACCGAGAAAAAGGCGGAGGAGACGTCAAGAGGAGTGCGCCCAACGGCTCTTGCGGGGCTCGTGCAAAACATGCTGAAAATGCAAAAAAAAAAAAAAGGCCAGCGGCTTTTTGGCCCTTTGGAAAAACAAACTGGCGGAGCAGGAAGGAAGTCTGCGGTTTCTCCTCTGGAATACAGGGGTGACGTTAGGGCGGCGGCGGAGGGAGGGGCGGCGGGGGGCTGTTGTTGACGAAGAGGGGGGGTAACGGCAGAGAAAACATATGAAATCAATTTCTCTCTCTGCGGCTCTTCCACTCCCCCGCCTCGTGTCACCTCAGAGAAGCGAGCCAGTGTTGCGGCCCCGCTCGCGTTATTAATGGAATTATCGCAGCATCTGGCATCGCTTAAGGGCCCCTTCCCTCCGCCGGGGCCGGGTCTTGTTTTCAGCCTCCTCGCACTTTGGCCGCCCCGCCTGGCAAACGCCGGATAGCGACGAGCGTTTGACGGCCGCTCTTCTGCCGACACGGCGGCGAGAGGCCCTCCGGGTCCCCGACGACGGCCCGGGAGCCCTCGCCCGACATCCGCCCGACAATCGCTGCCCGTTCATTAGCGAGGCATGGCCGAGTGGCCCGATACCAGCCGCCGATACTTGAGGCAAATGGCGACATCCGGCACCGAGCGAGTCCGCGGAGGGATCGGCGAGGACTCAAAGTTCACACTCGCGCCGGGATCAGAAAAAGCTGCCATCCGGCGGCCCGACTATTCCCGATACGCTGCGCGACGCCTTCCGAAGAAGCGAGCCATTTCATGAAAAAAAGCGACTTCCCCTGCGTGAGCTTTCAGAATGGCCCCGCGCTCTCGAAATTTGCTCACGTCCACGGAAAATGCCGCCGACGGGCTCGCGGCTGGCATCGCTCGCTGCGCTCTCACGAGCAAGCCTTAAGATGACGCAGATTTGAAGAAAGAAACCCCCCCTCCGCCCCCCCCAAAAAAAACGCGCACAGCGAAGAATACGCGCGGCGGCCGTTTGGGCGGCTTCTTCGCCTGCCATGTCGAGGCGCCACTTGGGGGCCAGTTTTGCCACGCGCTTGAAGTTTGAGGTGAGCGTTTGTGCTCTCGCGGTCTCCCGTCCCGAAAAGTTGCAAAGTTGACCCCTCCCTGCTTTTATTGCAGGAGCTCTTTGAAAACGAAACGCGTTTTGACAGCACACTCGCTGAAATGCCCTCACATGCGGGCAAGGGGAGCCACGGCGGCAGCATTGACCGTCGGAGGCGCAAAAACAAGAGCGGCTCCTTCCTTCCGATCGCCAACGCTCGTCTCTTTGTTCGCGAAGACTTCAAGCGGTCCAATGATTGTTTTTTCCACCCCCCCACGGCCCACCCGCGTCGGAGTCAACGCTCGCCTTTCCGCACCCCGACAAAAGCATCGACGTGACCGCTCAAAAGCGCTCGGCCGGAGAATCTTCGGGACCCCGAGGCGGGAGTCGCCGTCGCTCGCGTGCTCACCTGCGCCGTAAAGAAGGCGGGCGTGAGCGATCCGGACGGCAGCGCCGGACTGTTGAGGGCGATGGAGCCGATGTCGCTGCCCGCCAGCAGCAGGGAGGGGGGCGTGATGTCCAGCGCTTTGGGCCTTTTGCTCCTGGCGGGGAGCCCGTCTCCTCCGCGACGAGTCGGGGACGAGGACGCCAAGGAGGCGGAGCTTCCGCCGCCCCTCTTCTCCGGAGGCGGCCGCGGGTCTCGCTCCCTGCGCCCGGACGAGAGGTTGAGGGGCTGGGCGCTGTGCTCCCACAAGTCCTCCTCCTCCTTCTGCTCCTCCTCCTCGTCGTCATCCTGGTTGGCGGGGCCGCGCGGCGGGGAGCCGTAGGCCTCGGCGTCGTTGGCGCCGAAGCGGATGACGGAGCGCGGCTGGTGGCGAAGCGCCCGCAGAAGCTGCGGCCGCTGGCGGAGCGAGGCCACGCTGAAGGACGA